ACAGCAATGTTGTGAAGTCTTGAGAATTTCCTGGAAAATACTATTGTTATTGGGCCCTGCTTCAGCAATTTCTTTTGACATGCTGTCTTGGCTCACCTCATATTGAAGTTTACTGTTATTAGCTGTAATCTAAAATCAGAATTGACTAATAAAGCAATGTTATTGCTGCTATTATATGGTACTAATTATCTGTAAAATCTCTTCAGTGGCAATTTCACAATTGCTCATTATTCCTAAATAATCACCTATCTTTAGGAATATTTGTAAAAGGTAACATTCTTATGTTGTTTCTATTTTCAAAATTAATGTGGAAATTATTCTAATGAAACTGTGGTGAAGTTTTTTCTGAAGTCATGATTGTTTGGATGTCCTAGAGATGCAGCCTCAGATTCTTCATTTACTCTTCCATCTGAAGTAGAAAAAAATCACATGAATTTAATAGAAATGATCAATTGGTTCTAGTAGGGTTTCTGAGATTTCTGAATCTTAAGGAGAAATGGCAGAACTTTTCTCAGGGACTTCCAGACAAACATGCCTGGTTTATTTTGAAACCTTGTGGTGCTATAATTTTATGAAATATTTGATAAAGGAGGTCCTAAAGGACAAATGCAATAAACACTTCTATTCATTTTGAGTTTAGCATTTGGTCCTACATTGATTATATTGATTTATATCAGCATGGAGCACCACTTAATTCTATGTAAACACAAGTATTTATACTGTCTTAGTAGAAGCAGTGGGATTCCTGGCTTGTCGTTCTTCTGTAGGAAGATTAATTCTACCTTGAAATTAAAGTGAAACAATTCTACTTTGTCATTATCTGATGTATCTTGGGACATTATTCGGTGGATTAACTAAAGAGTAATTGTTGCTTAGACCTCTCTGCTATGATTAAATGTAAATCAAAAAATCCATGCAATTATTACTTCATTCAGCTAAATTCCTGGACTATTGCTGTAGCTGCATCCTTAGCCTGAGAACACAGGATTTTAATCCACAGCATTATGGGAAGCTTTAATCGCATATTCGTTTATTATTTGATCTAGGAAATGTAATCACTTTATATAGCTAGGCAGTACAAAGTATAATCTAAGGATTAAGAAAAGGCAAATCTTCCTATCCACTTGACCTTGAAAATCTGATTGATTTGACTTATCTGGTATGATTTTCCCTAATTATCTAAACCTTGATGTGTATGATTTGCGCAACTCATTCAGTATCTATCATTCTTCTGAGTCTAGTGCTTAATTTTATTTCATATTCATTTAAGTTTCAACTGCAGAGAAATGACAGGAAAAACAAGAAAAATCATGGTTAAATTTGTACCTTTGACATAAGATAACTATTTTTAGTAATAGGATGGCATTTTGGGCTGCCTTCTTTCAGAAGATCTTTCAGAATGAAGATCTTTTGATAGCTGTGAAACTGCATAAACTTGATTAACTTGGGATGAAGGAAGAACTATTTTATTTTCCATTGCTATGGCAGTGTGATTATCACAATCAGAATCACAGAATGGCTGAGGTTGGAAGAGACCTCTGGAGATCATCTAGTCCAGCGTCCCTGCTCCAAGTAGGATCCTTTGCAATATGCTCTAGAGGACCACGTTCAGGCAGGCTTTGAGTATCTCCAGGGAAGGAGACTCCACCACCTCTCTGGGCAGCCTGTTCCAATGCTCAGTCACCCTCACAGTGAAGAAGGTTTTTCTCAGGTTTAGGTGGAACTTCCTGTGGTTCAGTTTCTGCCCATTGCCTCTTGTCCTGTTGCTGGGCACCACGGAGAAGAGGCTGGCCTCATCCTCTTGACACTCCCCCACTTCAGATACTTGTACATGTTGATGAGATCACCTCTCAATCTTCTCTTCTCCAGGCTCAACAGGCCTAGCTCTCTCAGCCTTTCTTCAGAGGAGAGATGCTCCAGGCCCCTCATCGTCTTGGTAGCCCTCCGCCCGACTCTCTCCAGGAGTGCCATGTCTCTCTTGTCCTGGGGAGCCCAGAACTGGACACAGTCCTCCAGGGGAGGCCTCCCCAGGGCTGAGGAGAGGGGCAGGATCACCTCCCTCCACCTGCTGGCAACACTCTGCCTGATGCCCACCAGGATCCCATTGGCCTTCTTGGCCACAAGGGCACACTGCTGGCTCTTGCTTGACTTGTTGTCCACCAGCGCTCCCAGGTCCTTCTCTGCAGAGCTGCTTTCCAGCAGGCTAGCCTCCAGCCTGCACTTGACTTTGAATTTCATGAGGTTCCTCTCCAGCCTGTCCAGGTCCCTCTGAATGGTAGCACAGCCTTCGGGTGTGTCAGCCACTCCCCCTAGTTTTGGATCATCATTAGACTTGCTGAGAGTGCACTCTGTGCCTTCCTCCAGGTCATCAATAAAATACATTAATAGTAATGGACCCAGGACTGACCCCTTGGACACTCCTAGCTGCGGGCCTCCAACTAGACTCTGTGCCACTGATCACAGCACTAACATGTTTGTTAGAAGAAAAATCAGTCATCTGGATTTAAAGCAAATGGGGGAAAAATGGTGATCATCCACTGTTTAACGAATAGTTTCTTGGCTGCCCCTTATGGGTTTAAGTGGCTTGATCAAACAGGTAGAAGCTTGATTAAACAGTGGAAGTAAGGATAGGTAAGGAAATAGTGGTTCTTAAAAAATCAGTAGGAAGTACTCAGTTATTCAGGGTAGGAAAGCTGATCTTCAGACTGACTTTTTGGTCTTTCCAAGTTATCTTTCCAAGTTATCTTAGAGGGATCTAGAGAAGTGATTTTTGAAATAAGGGAATTTTTTTTTGCAGCCTTTTAAATTTTTATTGTAAGAATAAGACTGTTACTAAGTATTGATGAAAGTGAATCAAAATACTTAATTATTCATGAAGGTATGTAGCATTAATCAAGTTGCCATTAACAAATCCTTCAAATATTGAGTTGGGATAATTATTTTTACTATGTAAGCTAAAATACTTAGGGAATGCATATAACTTAGTTTATTGATCTTTTGAGAAACTTTTGCAGCTGACTCATCTGAAGAACATTGCAGTAGATGTTAACTCTCAACTTGTCAAATATATTTGAACCATGACAAGTTTCAGACCCCTACATGTTCCTGAATGAAAGCTCTTGTTTTCAGTCTGTCATTTTCTCTAAAGGTCCTTGAAGCACTGTTCATTCATAAGTCTAGTGTAGTGTCTGTCTTTTGTAAATACAGCTTTTATGAAACTAAATATCAAGGTGGGCAGGGGAGGAAAGTGCAATATATACCATACTTTGCCTTAGTAGGAAAAAGCAATTTTTTAGCTTTATCTACCGTTTGCAAAATCATAGTGAACTTGTTTTGATGTTAATCTAAATTTACGTAATTAATGTGGCTTTTGTCTTCTGTATGTTTAAAAAAAGCTTGTCTTACTGTAACAGTAATTATTTCCCCTAGCTACTGCAAAATTGAGATCTCATGTCATTCTGACTCCTATAAGTCTTCTATGCACTGATCTGTTCCCAAATACTACATCAGTGCTTAACATCATTTTTGAGTCTTGAATAACATAGTTCCAATATCTCCCTGAAACAAGGCAAACTATGCTGGATACAAACAGTGCTGAACAACTTCTAATTCTAACATTAGATGTTAATACTAAATCAAGTAATTTGCCTTGTTATTGTAATTGCATTTGTTTTGATCATAAAGTAGGTGTGTTTGTATTCCAATTTTAATATTTGCTAGACTTTGGTGTAAAAGGTTGTTCTAAATACAATTTAAGAATGGAATCTCAATCACTTGAAATCATGCAGTCGGAGAGATGAGGGTAAAGTGTGTAGTAACTGCAGCATTAAAAACCTGTGCCATATATGTTTTCTCCCCATAAATCACAAACTTTTGTAAGCATCCAAAGAACTTCATCATAACTGCCCTTGTTATATCAAGGAGCAGGGATATTAGTAGTTCACTTGTATTTCAGAGTACTGCAATAGTACTACGCTCTGAAGTTTCTGAATAGCATGTTCAGACTTGAAAGGCTTCTAAAATATCAGGTGCCTGCTTTGTATGAGTGGAAACACCATGCCCTATAAAATTTCAGTCTCAATTTCATCTGGCAATGAATTTCAAAATACCTTTATATGTCCTCTATATGTCCATGGCCATAATACTCCAATACATAAGTGGCACCTACAGAAACATATTAATTACACTTTACTAGCATTTACCTAGAATAGTTGTTTTCAGCCTGTTTTAGAAGAAACCTCTAAAACTTGTGACAAATGTCACTAACTTCTGGTCAAGTAGAATTCAAGCTTAAGTGGTGGTGTATGTTTATTTTTTATTTTACTGTGAATTTAACAAGCTGTTAAGATGACTGTAGAAGATGAATGTTTCATATCCTAGAAGACCTTTTGCAGTGATTCTGTTTCTTGGTTGTATTTTAATAGTCTTGTGGTAACACATTTAATGTACTGCAGCCTCCAGTATGCTTGAATCCAATCCAGCAAAGACTTAGACGTAGAGTAGTTCAACCAATGCTTTGCTTTTAGTCTCCTTGTGGACTCCTTGTCTTCCCCCACCTGTGAAATGGAATATTTTTATTACAATAATGCAGTATTTTTATTACAGTTAGTATTAAGAGAGTTGTATTGAAGAATCAATTTTGTGTATACTTGAAATATCTCTGGAATGCATAGTATCATGAGATCTAGGTTTGGACTTCTAAATATTGTTCCTAATGATGTAGTTCCTTTGATATAGCACTAAGCCCAGATTTTTGGGTTTGATTTATGTGCTTAATAGCATTTATGAAATTTTGAAAGACTGGTTTGACATTTGCTCATAAGTGTACAGTAAGCATGATTTAGTCTATAGATCTGTGTATCTAATGCCATTATATATTATGCCATAATGCATTAATTTGAAAGGGTTTTTTAAATTACGCTGACTTTAAAGAAGCGCAGCTTTCAAATTGTGGTCTTAAACTGAGAAAATAACAGACTTTTTTTTTCTTTAACAGAAATTGAAAAATTCCAAAAAGGAGAAGGGAAGGAAGAAGAAAAGTATATTGATGTAGTCATCAATAAAAATATGAAGCTGGGGCAAAAAGTTTTGATTCCAGTAAAACAATTCCCCAAGGTAAGTCCCCTTGTTACACTTCACAAATCTAAGTCCTTGTAAAAGAGATAGTTACCTAGTTTAAGATAGTAAAGGGATTTGTTAAATTTAAAACAGTATTAACCCTCTCTACTAATACTATCTTGTGGTCTACTCTATAGAAATTCTAACATAACTGTTTTTACAGAAAATGGATTTGAACATAGATGTTGCTCGCAACCTTAGTATGCGGTAATGTTCTCCCTGCTTGTGATAAGGAAGTACGTTTTCCATTTTCCATTATAAAAAGGAAATGATTGTTTGTAATATATTGAAAATATATCCCAAGCTCCAAGAAACTGTGTATCCTGAAGTCAGCTTTAAGAGTTATAACTTAAAATGAGAATTATACACCTGAATACTCAGTTTATAATCTGAGCCCAAACGTCTCCAATAGCTTTTCTCCTTTTTAAATGCTGTTCTGCCTGCAGTGCTATAGATTCAGTTATTTGGAAAGCTAGGACCTTTTCTTTCTACTTTGTACATAAGGTTTTGACTTGCATTTAATATTGGATTGTCCAGGCTGGTTATTCTCTTGTGACAAAGTTTGGAAAGGGGATGGCTTAGTTCTCTGCTCAGAGTAGTACTTGGTTACATTTTCTTTTCGCCCTTAAACAAGGGAATCCTACCATAGGAAAGTTTCCTATTAAAACAAATGAGCAGAGAAGTGTTGCCAGTCATGCAAAAACTAGTGTTTTGAGAATGAGTGATAAGAGTCATATTTTTCATATAGCTAAAAACAAATCCTCTTCAGGGTTATACTTGAGTTGACTTTAGTGGTGTGCTTTGAAACTTTATTGTAAGCCAAAGTACATTTTTAAATGAACCAATAGAAAGTAAGTTCACTATATAAATTTTCTTTCCTTTATCCTTTTAAAAACTTCAGCCTGTGCTGTAATGCTGATTTAGGTTTACCTGCACTACTAAATTAGGCAATCTGTTCGAGGAAAATAGGGACTATTTTGTTGTTTTTGGCTATCATGAATTGTGAATGTTTCTTTGCTGCCAGCCGTTTTGGAGTAACGAATTGCTACATGGAAGCATTTATTCAGTGTTCAATAGACTGTGGAACTTTATCCCTTTTTAAAATTTGAGGCTAACGCTATGAAAAGCAGAAGGATATTATGCTTTATTTGTTTGAAATGGCTTTCTCTTTTCCTACTGCAAGACTCTTTTTTGGTCTCTGCTTATGGAGCAAAGAAATTTGTTTATTCCTACTTCCATTTCACTCGGAATCTCTTCTAAATAGTTTTTTCATGCTCTCCATGTTTCCCTCCCAGGTCACGCTGGATAATTTGTAGGTATTGCTTTACAGCCAGGCTTCAAAGTTTCAGGAAAGATTGCTTCCATGAATTTCTGAGTTGGTGTGCCCTTTGTATGTGGGCATCTCTTTGACTTCAGATTTCACAGTTCCATCTTTAATGATGCAGAGAATTATATCCAAATGTATCCTTAAGTAGTAGATGATCTGAGTTATCTATAGTAAGATTCATGTCTGTAAATGTGTTGCAAAGTTGAGTGCTCATTCTTGGCTTGCATGCTGTTGATGGAGTAATGGAAACAGTCTCTGACTTAAATGCACAAAACTGTATACAGTCTCCCTTCAGCAACTTTGTGTATCAGAGTGATGTGGGCAAAAAGTGGACTCTGAATGAGAAGCCAGTGTGAAGTAGGAAGCGCTAAGATGTACCTTAGCCACTTCTAGACCTTCTTCACAGAATATTCCTTCACTGAATTTCAGTCCAGAGCCTCTTCCTAGAGTTTAGCTCTTGAGGCTGTCATCTACAACCTGTTGTAGATGGTGTTTGACATCTAATGCAGAAGCTGTTTCCAACAGGTACTGGAGGTCTAGTAAGACCTGTTCTGCCAGAGAATGAAATCAAATATTTTTTAGTTTAAGAATATTTTCTCTTCCAGCATGGGGAGCCCCTTGATTTTTCTTTCAGAATTTTATTATGTAAGTAGATGGATATTTCTGTGGAATCTTTAATGAACAACCTTTAAATGAGAAGGAATTAGAAATTCTCGCTGTAAAAGGAGTCTGGGATGTTAGCATGGCTTCAAACTCCTTAAATACATGAAAGGTGGGAGAATAATACTAGTCTATGTAATAAGTACTCTTAACTTTTTTAGACAAACAAGCAGTCACTGGAATTTGGTACTGTCTCGTTTACCAGAGCTATGCTTGCTCTTGTTTTCCTTTTATAGTCTAATACATGTAAATACTTTGTACAAAGCGATATAGCTTCAGCATGACAAACTGATAAGTCTTATCCGAGGATACTATATAGTCTGTGGTGAGTCAGGCGTGAATGCATACACAGGAGAACTGAGTCTTTCATATCTTAACATTTGTAAGTACTAATCTTTTTACTGTCAGGTGTGTTCAAAGAAGGGCTCAGAAATCAGGAATGCTTTCTCAGCTCTATGGGGGTGGGGGTAGATGTGAAATTACTCTAATCGTCTTAGTATCAATGAGCTGTATTTCGAGTGCATGTATTATATTCAGATTCTGCAGAATTGAAGCAGAAGATATTGCACAGTGAGTGTAAAAGCTGAAATTATGTGAATGACTTCTGCCTCTAGGCCAGGGTTTCCTGTGCCTTTGTACAGTTTGCCAGACCTCAGCTATTCTATCTGCAAGAGGGGTTAGTGTTCTGTCAAATGTGCATCGTTAGACAGCCAAGTGATAGCACCTCGCAAGAATTGTTAAACTGTTAAAGGCTTGCTCCTGATTTTTGAGTACTTTTCTCTTCTGCTAATTAGTATTAGTGACAAATGCTTCATCAGGTTGGAGCTTAAGACTTAGATATATGGGCAAAATCTGTACAAGAAGCTTATCTGTGTGTAAGTGTTGAATTCAGAGGCATTCTTCTAGCAAGCTAATTGTCCTCTTCCTTCCTATATGCCTACAGTCAACAGTAAAGCTGTTAGCTGTTGTATAAGGTCCTGAAGAGAAAGATACCTCTGGTCTTCCAGGAGATGGAGTCTTTTTGGTGTTGGTAAACTCAGGATCTGCTGTTTAGGCCTGACCAAATTGAGTACCTGATAAAACTGTCAAAAACTAGCATTGGGACACCTAACCTGTGTAGTAGTTTGGGTTGAATTTGGCAAACCTAGACGTTGAGAAAGTGAGGAGGAATAACTAAATTCACTTCAGCTTTGGAGACAAAGCAATGCTTTTCTCAAATGAAAAAAGCTGTGTTTAACTTGCACAGAGTTGAAAAACTGGTTATTAAACATTTGGAGTTTAATATCTGAAAATTAAACTACAAGTGAAAGTGATGATCTTGTTAGTAGAAACTGTTCTTTATATTTGCCACTGATTCTCCCCCTAGTTGACAGATTATTCGACCAAATATAGGATTAATTAATCCAAAATAAGTTTCCTTGAAGTTTTTCATTGTCCTTTTTTCTCTAGAACTTCCTCTTTAACTCTGACTCTTTGAATAAATTGTAGTAGCTTCAACATAGGGGTCAGACAGTTCTGACTGATTTGATCAACCTGTCATTGCAATGCCCAGTCACATTACCTATCCTGTCAGATATGTTCTCACAGGATCACAGCTAAGTCCTATGCATACTTGGCATCATTACCTCTGACAGCCCTGGAAGAGGACTGGATAACTGTAGCAGAAAGCTATTCAGCTGAAACTCATAACATCTGATTTCCTGATTTTTTTTTTAGAGGGATCTGATAGACCTCAGATTAAAAAGTAGGTATTTCTTTTTTAATCTGAGCATCTATTCTCCCTGAAAATTCTGCGTACTTAACTGGCCTTCTGCTGCATAGTCCTCAAAAGGTGAGACTGTCCATTGTTTCCATGTGGATATGTTAACCTTGCCTCCTATCTAACAGCTCTTGGTTGCTTCTTTGCTACTGTATGTCTCTTCCGGTCTGAGATCTTTTGTCTTGCTAAAATCTTGAGTGTTAACAAGCCTAGTATCTCATGCTAAAGCTAGTGATGTGACATGGTTTCTTCTGTTTTAACCTTCCTAATAACTATAGTTTTATCTTGCAGGTAGAACAAATGAGACAGCCTAAATTGTCTGTTTTATGAAGTAACTTGACCAGATAGTGAATCTCAGGAGTTGTTTAGCTTCTGCTCAAGGTTAATTGTGTATTTGAATTAACTTCATTTATGTTCTTTACAAGCTCCTGTATACGTTAAAACAAAACTGATCTATTCTGTCTTGACACGAGAGTATTACTTGGTGAGACAAAACCATGTGGAAACTGCTCTATGGATTGCAGGTCCAGTCAAGTCTTAAAATCCAGTTGTATGCAATCTTGTTATGAACTCTTTAGATTGGTCCACCTCTTCAGACTCCTTTGAGAAATGGCTGTGATATGGGGACTGCACTTGAAAGTGTTTAGGTGAGGCTTGGAAATGCTTTGATAGGACTGTCTGCGATCCTGTTGTAACTGGGTTTTGTGCTATGAGCCAGGATTAAAGGGAAGGAAGATCAGCATTTTTGTGCAGCCTCATAGGCCATGAGGCAGCTTTTTGAGCTAGGATTCAGTTTCAGATTAAGTCACTTATGTAGAAGTCCATAAGGATGCTGGATAGTGAACTTCCAGTTAGTCGAATGAGATCTAGTAAGGTAGGTGTTAGAGTAACTTTAATATGCCCTGCTATTTGTTCAGCTGTAATACCTCAGCTGATTCTAGGTCAATTAAAGCTTTTTAGCTCAATATTTTGAGTAAAAATATCTATTTAAAAATGACATTACCTTATAGAATATCTGTGACTTCTCCACGACAAGAAGTCATGGAGAAATTACTATTTTAATCATGTGACTAGTTAGAAATAAATTTTACACAATAGCTTAGTTCTGTGTGGATTTCTTATACTAGGAATGGGGGACAAGAATTTGGGTAAAATTGTAGCTGATGTGGAAGAACAGGCATCAGCTGTAATACCAGAAAACTGTTGAATTGATTTACAGTAATGACAAAGTTTCGTGTTGAATATGTTCAGAGATCTACTACTGTGCGATGAGAGTGATGTGGAGGAGATAGTAATTTGATGTGGTGTAGCATAAGTGCTTGAGGTACTTATCTTTCTGTAAAAACCTTGTTTTTTGAAATGAGTAAGAAAAATCTTGAAGTTCTTCTAAGGGAAGTGTAAGGGAAAGTACTCTTGACTCTTAAAAGGTAGCTGTCTGTATTTTTTTTCTTGTTATTCTTGAGAAACCATTAGAGAAAGCTAATATGCCAAAAAGCTTTCTGTGGCTTTGACATTGGCTTGTAGGAGCTTTACAGTAGAGCATTTGGTCAAGCATTTATTCTGTCATTAAGTATTTTAAGCTGGATGAAGCATTCTCTGCAGACTTGTCTTGGTGGGGATAAACAAGGATTACTTTTTCTGTTATATCTCTGTTTCTGTTTAAACATACTGTAGCACTGGCATTGATTCCTTTTTGCCGAAATTCATACGGTAGATAAAATACTCCTGAAAACGTTTCCATTTATACACTTCCTTTGTAGCGGTCTTCTCCAGAACTGTTCTCAGAATAATTTCAAGCAGTGTGCTGGTAAGAAAATATTTCTAGATTACTGTTGAAGGCATATTTTGGCAAACCCAAATTCTGAGGAAAAAGGTTAAGTAGGTTTCCCTAATCTCTATTGTACTATATCTATGCAAATTTAAAATAAGGCTTTATGACTACATGAAGATGGAAATCTACATGCGAAAATGATTATTGTTACAAAATTTTCTAGTTTTAGTACAAAATCTTGTAACTTCCATTTGAAATATGGGTATTTCATAGTTACACAACAGTTGAAAGTAATCTGTCAAAGAGGAATTCATGCTTTCAGTATAGTTCAGCTGCGTTTGTAAGCCGGTGGACACCATGACCAAGAGATTTTCTTAGTTGAGGAGCTAAGGTGGTGTTGTCTTTAGGAAACAGGGTGGTGTTGACACTTCATGCTGTAACTTCAATGACAGACGGAGGTGTAGGTGTAGAAGGATGTGCTTTCAGTGATAAAAGATAGAGCTGTTAGGAACTAAGGAGAAGAATATCCCTTCCTAAATCTCACATAATCTTACTCAAACTGTAATTTGTATCTGGTGATATTTTGATATAATTCTGGCAGATTTCAGAGGGTGTCACTCATCACTACAGTTAGTGACTGGAACAATAGCTGATGTGACGTTTCCCTATCTTCTCCAATCCTGTTCTGTTGTTCTGGATCTTGATGCTGTTGCAGAGGTGGCTTAAACTTACAGCTGTGGTCTTCTGCTTCCTAAGGCATATTTGGCATATCCTTTGGAGCAGTACCAGAAGCAGCTTTCAGATAGGGACTTTATCATATTTATAATACCATCAACCAAAATAAGTTCCTGATTGTTACCTAAAACATCAGAAATTCCTTTGACATATAGACTGTCTCTGATTTTAACATAGGTGATTTATCCATGTTATAGAATAATTTGCATGGCGGGCATTTGCTCAGAGTACAGGTGGTCTATAAAGATTTGAATATGATAGCTTCCGGACCACCTTGGGTATGTATACCTTTGAAGAGATGATGACTTTTGGTGGTATTGGAGTTTTGTAAGGCAGGTTTTACGTACACATAAAACATTGAACTTCTTAATTTAATTAGAATAATACAGCTGGAATAAACTGGCTTTGGGGCTCTCAAGGCTCCTATTCTTTAGTTGCTTTTGTTCCAAGGTGATTTTTTCTGAGAACGACACATTTGCAGTGGAATGCACTTCCTTTGTTGCAAGTGTGCACTTTCATTTGTAAATTTTTCCGTTTCTTTTAATGGTTGAATGGTTAAAGTTGTTAAGTGATATTCAGCGCCATTACACATTTAAATATGTGCTTTCCTATTCCCAAATCATTGTCAGCTTGTTTTGAGTAAAATTAGATCTGAATATATTTATTAAAACTAGTGATTAGAAATTAATTTAGACTGTCAGACTGGGTACTCAGCACTCAAATAGATCTGCGTACTGCAAATGGAAACTTAATTAGAAATGTATAGAATATCTATTTATGTTCCTTTTCCTTTTTTGTTATGGAGGGGTTTTTGAATTTCTGACTTTAGCTTCCTTCCCTTCTAAAGCCCCTTCTGAGCTGAAAGAGCCCCAGGCATTCACAAGTAGCCTCTGTTTCAGTGTTTGTTCCTGTGACTAGAAGTGGCAGTGTTTAATATGCTTCCTTGTTTTTGTGGCACATCACTTCGTACCACTAAGATTACTTAAGGAGAGGAATGTTATGATTATGAACCCCAACTGGCTTTGGTAAACTTGAAGGTAGTAGGGGCTGGTGGCAGCCAAGAAAACTTGTTAAGGGTTATAATTCTTTGAGACTGAATTTATATGCTTGTGTTCTCTGTCCGTTTCTGATTGCTTAGGGTATTTTGTATAGGTTGCTGTATTACTCCATAAATCTTTAAGGGAGGATAAGCCACTTGTGTTTTCCCTCCAGAGATTTGGTTGTTCTTATGATTATGGACATGCTGATACTGTTCTTATGATTATGGACATGCTAACAATTGTTGCAAAGTTGAGCTGTAGTTTAAGCATCTGTTATCACATTCAAAATTGAGGAACATGAATTCCTTTTATAGTATTTGATAATTCTTTGAGTTCAGATATTTCTAGATTTCTGTTGGTATTAGGAGGAGCCACTGAAGTCCTAGAAACTATCCTACTCATCTGTGTTTAATAGCTATGAAATTTATTATCTGATATGACTGCACCTACAGCAAAATGTTTTAGCAAAAAATTTCCCCTTTTGCATTCATTTTTGATGGTTAAAAGTCTGTTGCAATGAGCTAATGTTGGTTGTTTTTTTTCTTACAGTTCAACTTTGTGGGAAAACTCTTGGGTCCACGTGGCAATTCTCTAAAGCGCTTACAGGAAGAAACTCTGACCAAGATGTCTATTTTGGGAAAAGGTTCTATGAGGGACAAGACAAAGGTAAAAAGACCTGAAAATGTTAATGAAGAGTGAAATCTGAGTTTCTTAACTTCCCGTTCACCTCTTCTGGGGAGGTGAACAAACCCTGTGACAAAAAGGTGTGTGGGGGGGGACAATTATAAAGTATAGGATATCCTAATATTGGTTAGGTTAATACAGAATTGTTTTCCCTATGGAGTCTGCTCTTAGTATTAATATTTTGAGTCTACAATGAGCTGTTCTCAGGTCCCCTCTCCCCCAACTAAGGTTCCTCAAAGTAACTGGGGCGTTATCAGAAGCATGATGTAACTTTTTCTTGTCCAGCTTGTAATGAGTAATGCCAGGTGAACATTGTAGGTGTTTTCAGTTTTAAAGGGAACCGACTTTCAAATAGACCTGAATGAACATTCATTTTCCTAGAAAATAAGTGTGAAAATAGCTGAGGAAAGGAGACAGCAAAATATGAATAGAGGGGAAAAATCACACTTGACTATTTCTAGATGACAAATTGTGATAGCAGTTGAACAGCATAAATCAGTTCCTTTTCGTAGGAGGCATTTGGTTAGGGTGGCAATATCCATTATAAGAGCCACAGCTGATGGCAGAAGAGAAACCTATTGCTTCGTAGGTGTCCGTACAAACCGATTTCACTCTTCTGTGTAGTGAAATAAGTCTCAGACCAAATTTCTAACAGACACTAACTGTACATTGGTGAGAAGATGGCATGGGTGACATGACAAGATGTACATGTACGTAATGAATTACATTTTATTATTGGGAGCACTCCAAATGATACAAATTAAACATGGAAAATAAAATATTCTTAAACTGTAACTGCATCTGTAATTTAACTTTGTAATCTGAAATGTTAAAATATTGTGTGCTATAAAGCTGAATGATATGCATATGTAAGAAAGACTTAGAGGGCTGGCTAGCTTATTTCCTAAGTTTGAAGATATTAGTCAGCACGGTTCTCCATGAGCAAAATGAAAATGTTTAAACTATTGATCAAGAACTTGATAGCTTCTTCCTGTTTGCCAGTTGGCATATGTGATATTACCAGCTTTAAATGTATAATGATTACCTGAAGAAATGAGGCAGTAAGTCTCAGACTTTCCAAGCAGAATATTTGCAGATCTTTAAGTTTTTGCTTAGACTTTTTGAGCTTTAAGAGGTGCTTGTGGAAGACAGTTAATTGATTCAAAAGGTTGACAAGATGTTAATAGCAAAGATGACTACTTTTTGCAAGTTCTCTAGGGAAAGGTATAGATAAAACAAGAAACAGAATTTTGTCTCTCAGTAAAATCATTTTGGGGCAATGGTATTTCTCCAAGTCTTTTTTGTAATCACTTTCTTAGAACATTCTATCTGCTTACTGATAGATTTGGGTTAAAAACTGCATATTCAGGGGTGCTTTTCTGTATCTACCTGTTTGTTAGTACTTAATTTGACTTCTAGAATGACTTCTAGAGTTTCTTGCCCTCTCTTTTGTCAACTTCTAGGGTTCTATTTGTATCTACTTGTGATAAATATTATCAATATATCTTATCAGTTCTGTTCCTCAGTCCAGATATGTGATTTTTTCAAGCTGTGCTGTCATTTGATCACTGTCTTTTCACTAATGATTGCTCATGACACTACTCAGGCTTTCATGTCTTCTAAGGAGAAGTGAAACAGCAAGGAAGGACCCATTTCAGGGGGATTTTTTTCATTCTGTGAAGATTACTTTTATATGGCAAATCTAAAGAATACAGTTAAAGCCTTCCAACACAATGGGATGTTTCTGCTGTTATCTGTAGTTTGAGACTCCTATGCCTTTGAGGCCAGTACGGGTCTCAACAGTTTCAGTATTCTGAATATGAATGGCTTGTAAAATCTTAAATGAAACTTGACTTTTTAGAAAACTTTAAAGCAGCAATATATTAGCTAAGCCTAAGGAAACTTAGAGTCTAAATCCAAGGTGATATAGTAAAGATGAAAATGGACAATACCATGAGAGGTACTTTGAGAAGTACTCAAATACTGTATGTAAAGCAGTAGACTTCTAAACTGGTATCTAGTTTTTGATAGCTTAAGAAGTGTGAGGGAAAGCTAGCAGGCCTACAGATGTAATAGATTACAGGGTAAAGAACGTTAGCTGTCTTTAGACCTTTGAGCAATGGGTGTTGCTATCTTGTAAAGCTGCTCTTAGTGCTCTGCTTTCTTCTGACCTCTTAAGGGGTGGAATGTGAGAGGGTGCGAGGAACCGAGGGAATAGGGTCAGCTTCCTCAAAGACTGCTGGAGGATCAGTACCGCGGGGATGTATGCCTACCAAAAACATGAATTTAAATCAATCTGTTGAAGCCATGAACTACTTGTGGTATGATTGGCCTTTCAGTCTCAGTGCTTGCTCATGCAGACTTTCTTTAAAACCAAAGGAAGTGGCCATCTTTTAGCTAGCTTGTTTCACATCTATTTCACTTCCATCCTTTCAACAAAGTTTAAGGCAGCTGGAATGCAGCTGCATGAATCTCTAAGATATTTGTTTGATCTCTATTACAGTTGAAGGGGGAAAAAATATATATGTATTGTTTGGCTGGTCTGCAAGCAAAACAAAGGGCACTCAACGTGGATCAGACTAGCCCAGCCAGATCACATGCTGCCAAGTAATGGAAGGTAGAGCATACTGTGCAGCTAAAACTATTGTTGGCAAGGGGGTACTGGAGCAGGAGCAAGCTGTAGCTTTTGTGTTGGGCATCATGAAAAATAAAAAGGACTGGAATGCTGAATGTATCCCCATGGTTGGGAGATGTGAGAGACAGGGAGTGAGCAGATGAGCTCTTTACTATTTGTATGGTGCTACTGAGAGCTGGGGACACTAGTGTATTGCCAAGCCATATTACTTGAATGTAAAGCAAGTTATTTTAATCAAGGCAAACATTGCCAAAAAGAAAGCAAAGCAAAAAGAAAAAGTTGAAGTTTACCTATGAAAAAAATGGAGACTGCTCAGAAGTTATGTTTTGTTAAAATTGCTTGTTGAAATCTTTCACCAGCCACTACATGTGAAATTGACTTTTTCTCTATTCCTTGTTGTTACTGCTATGCAAGTTTATGGTACCTTTACCTTTTCTTCACTCTTGAATAATTAATAGCTTCTGTTTCTTGAGAGGCTTGTCCAAAAACTAGCTGATCCTAGCTGAATTTGTTTTTATGCTTACATTTCTCATTTTCTTACTGTTGCAGTTCTTTCCTGTTCTTTTGGATGCCCCAACTTATTCTGAAATTAGTTGCCTGACAATTTCATTTGTTAACATTGCAGCATGCAATGGGTTATAGGGTTTATAGGGTTTAGTGCTATAAAATTATTTCAGCTTAGTGTGATGATGTTTAACTCTGTGGCAGCTGGTGAAAACAGCAGCACTGAACTGGTGGTTAATAACACTAGGTGGTTAATGGTGGCTACAAAGTGTCTGCAAGTAGATTCACCTATGCCAGGTGGCCTGAGAGGAAGAGTTGATCAGACAATATGATTCATAAAGCCCAGGAAAAGAGATAATTTCTTTAATTCTTTTTAATTCCCTGCACATCTAACTGCTCAGTTATTCTGTCTTTAAAAAAAAAAAAGCTGGGGTGGGAAGGATGCTTAATAGCATGTGTATATTAAAAGATGAAATATATAAGGAACTGAACTGATGAAAGCATAATTGCTTGCAGGGCTAGATGATTTGTACATCTTGAATAACTGCTTAAAATATTTAAGACTTGCTATTAAAAGTAAATATATTTAATAGCAGTAATGCTGGTATTAGGGATGTTAGGGAAATGAGCTCTTTGTTCTTTGTGTTGACAAGATAATGGTTATTTTGACAAAATCTAAGTCTACTGACTCTGGTATGTTAATTTTCTTGCTCTGAGTACTTTTAACAGCTAACCAGATTGTTCTAATTTTTTTAACTAATTTATTGAAATAGTCAAGTGTGCTAAATATGACAACAAGAGTGTTAGTTGTGAGAAGCAGAAACTTGTCATGTATGAACTCCAACCCATAATATAATGGGGAGGGGGAGAGATTGCAACTGTCATTTAAATTACTTAAAAATTATACCTTCAAAGAAGCGTAGTACTTATCTGGTGCTTGTTAAATGTGATAAACAGCAGAAAATAATTTTCTTAAGGTAGCATTATGTTGAATTCCTAGATTACCAGATCTCCTGTCTAGTAATACAGTGCAATTGTATTGTACAATGCTTTGGGTTTGCCGTGCTGTAAGTGGTTTATTCCTGTGTTGTCCCTATCACAAATACATAGTTTATAAATATTATAGACACACATATATTTAGATGTACGCATGCATATAAGTTTGCATATATATCACATATATGTGACATTATATAATCTATCTCTGAAACTAGCAAATTGTATCCTTTAGGTTTGTGAACAATTTGCATGTGAATGCAAATATTTCAAAGAACTGAACTCTTTACATTGAAGCCATTGTTTCTGCAGTCATCTTAAAGTCGGTTGGAGGAAGCAGAATAAAAGAAACTTCTGAAACTTTTTGCAATGTCCTCCCTACACTCTCCTTAAAATACTATGACGTGCTAGTTTTATATACAGGCAACACACTAGCCTGTTAAGCAGATACTTATTGTGTGGTAGAAATGTCAGTGAGAACAGACTAACTGAATCAGAGTTGCTAAAATGTACAATAATATTAAGAGAATGAAATAAACTTGGATAAAAATCTTGATGTGACATGGAATATTAGATTAAATCTGTTTCTGAAGGCCATTTATCTTTGGGAAAAGTGTTCCAGTTTCTCCCTGGAAATAATATATGTTTGTATAAAAACAAGTGCACTCAGGAAAACTGAGGAGTTTTTTCCTTGTAGTACTTTCTGTATATGAGCAGAGGTTGGTCATGTGTCCTGTTGTGTGTTGCCAGGCACGTATTATAAATAGGCAAACTGGTACTATTCTGATATTTTTAAATCATGATTGTTTTGCGGTGTACCAGAAAGATACGTTATAAATTTTTCAACTGTTGACATCTGGATATAAATACAAGTATATGTGAAAGCCTCCAAAACAATTTTAAGTAACATTTGTCTTATGTGATGCTCTGTTTAAAATGAGGGGGGAAAGCAGCAGCAGCAACAAAACAAAGAAACAAACAAAACTTTTTCTGTCCTCCTAGGAAGAAGAGTTGAGAAAAAGTGGTGAGGCAAAATACTTCCACCTAAATGATGACCTGCATGTTTTAATTGAAGTCTTTGCTCCACCAGCAGAAGCATATGCCAGAATGGGACATGCGTTGGAAGAAATCAAGAAGTTCCTCATCCCTGTTAGTATTTTTTTCTTAAGAACCGTGGTACTGAGTGAACAATTTTCTAAGTTCCTTTATCAGCTTTGAATATAATAACTTTACAGAGTAATAAATAATTCAACGTGTGTATTTATCCTTAATGCTTATTGAAATCCTTATCCTAATAATTTGATATTGCTGTATGGAATCAAATGCTTTTAGTTCATATATAAGGCAATATTTTTCATTAAAAAGGGCACTGAACTTAAAACTGGGGACCCCAATTTCTGTTGTTGTCTGTAAAACTAACTTACTGTCTAATAATAGTCAGATCATACTGCTTCAAGTTTTTACATATTACTAGGTCAATACATAACTATCCCCATCTGCTCTCATCTCGTGGTATGACCTTAAAGAGCTAATTTATCCTTACTTAACTGGTAATGTGCAAAGTATTCAAGTTTACAAATGATTGGAAAATCTATAAGAATGTAGAAGAATAACCTTTAAGACAAGTCTTTTTTCCCCCTCTTACCTTATATGTTGAAGCATCAGCATAGGCTTTTGTTTCAATAAGAGTAGGCAAATTTGCAGTGGTAATATTGCTCCTGCACTTAATCCTGAGTTAGTAGCCAATGCTGAGAATCAATATAACTTCATATTCTATCTTTATTTCTTTCATAAAGCTAATGATGATACTTTGGATATTCTTATCGTGCTTATTTTTGGATGTGTACTTGAGGAGAACTGGCAGTTCTGAAGCTAGTGCTCTTACTCTGCTTCGGCTTTTGGGGTACTCAAAAGTAGATTCCTGAATAGGCAAAATAGTAACTTGAGACCTGCAGAGAGTTCAAGTATACTTGTGCAGTACTAGAGTTCCCTCTTATCTTGACATAGAGAAGTCTAAATTATAAAAAAATCCTTTCCTGAAGGCTGGAGTTATATCTTGTTCCCTGAGAAAATAGGTGGCATCTTAAATATAAGACCCATGATTGGGCCAGTGTTTGCATTTGGAAAAATGGGGAAAAAAATTCCAGTTTCTGTAGCTGCTACAATTAAGAACAGGATCACTCTAATATGACTTTCAGCTGTATGGGTAACTGTACAGCTTGGGTGTGGAACTCATGTTTGGGTGTATAAAATGAAGTATTTCCAGTAATAATTTGTATTCTGTACTGGGGGTTTGAAGAGACATTGGTATCTTAGGGTTTCTAGTGTCTAGCATAGATTCCTGTTTTCTTGTATAAGGAGCAACCTTGGCTACTTTGCAGTGTTAAACTGCTTGCAAGAGTCTATGCTATTAAGAATTGTAGCTGAGGCACTAGAAGTAATATTACTGGTTGTGAAACTCCTGAGTGCTTAAGCTCTCCAGTAGACATCCTTCTATTGTTATGGGTTATCAGATGAATGAATGCGGAAAGTATGCTCAAAGTACAATGGTTTGGTTTATTCATTATTCAAATCCATTATTATTTTACTGTTTACTTCCATTATTGTTAAAATGATTGTTAGATTTCAGGTCTCTGAAATATGAAGGACCTAGGTAAGGGAACCATATTACTACTATGTATTTCTGAGTGACAGCGGCACTTGGGTATAGACACCATAACTGTTAAGGACTAGTTGGAGACCTATTATATGGCTATGTTAGCAGGGACTACAGCCCATTAGAGGTAGAACTGCAGTTCCTACCCAAATGAAACAGTTGGTGCTGGTGGCATGGCAGCATTGCTGCTGCATTTTGGGGATTTTACTTTGGACTAACTCTAGTCTAGATACATGAAGCTGGAAGTCCTAGAGTGACTGGAGTTGGTCATGAGCTTCTTGACCATTTCTTCTGGCTTACCTTTGTCTGAATGAAAACTAGTTCATATGCTCCAGCATTACTCCATGACATGAACCAAAGTACAGGAAGTCAGGATGCTCGGGGTGTTCATTTAGAAATATATCCTAATGCAAACTAAAGCATTAATGTGGATGCACTCAGACAGTTGACGTTCAAAGGAGTGTCATGACCATTATGTTCAACACAAATAAGCACACATTGGATCATAACTTTGTCTAGAGTTTCCAGATAGCTTTTGTTTTGATATGTATGAAAGGAGGTACATAAATGTCCTCCTGTTCAAATATCCTAACTGGTTTGATAGGGGACACCCAACAGAATATTTGTAGGAATACTACCTTGTCATAGTGTGGAAGGTTGCTGTATTTACGTGTAGACCTTTGTTGTTTATCCTAGGATTAAGTGTGAAGACTTAAATATTTTTCAGTAAGAGATGGTGAAATTAAGGCTGGCTATTCTAGTGAGCAAGCAGCTGTTTTCTGTTTAGTTGAAAGTGTGCTGGATTTGATAAGAAACCTTATCTGTGCACTGGAAATGAGGATATGTATGTGAATCCCCCCACCTCTGCATCAAAGGTCTTTAATTTTTCTTCACTGAGCTTAATTCATCTGATATAAGGAAAATATACTAATCATTAGGTTTTGATATATTAGTTTAACAGTAATATATTTAGTTAAAGGCGGCTGACAAGAACAAATCCATCTGTTGTACACTTCTACTGCTCAGTTTTTTGATCCTTGCATTATCAGTTTAGCTCAGTACAGTAAAGGTACATGAGCTTCTCTAAAATGCAGGATCAAGGCAATACTACCTTAATTTTCCTTTGATTTTTTTCAAAGGTAGTCTTATTAGAGTAGTTCTAAATAGCCTTAATTCCTTCTGCACCCACCACCTGCCTAGGTGCAACTCCGGGAGGCAATGAGAGCAGCTTTGTCCCCTCTGAACTTCCATTGGGTTAACTGCTGAGAAACACAATTTTATTTTCTGTAATGCCTGCTGTGGCTTTCTTAGCAAGCTATTGATTCTTTCAAAAAGAAAGTTCTGCTATCAGTCTGTATAATTGAGCTTTGTAATATGTATATTTACTTTATAGTGGAAGCTAGCTATGCCTTCCAACAGCATTAAGTGCTGATCCTAATCAATGAATATTGTAGAAGTTGTTCAGTTTTCCTGTCAGGTCTGTATATACAATCATATTTGCTAGAATGTAAGATACAAAATATCCTTGACGTAACTGACTTATTTAAAAAACAAACAAAACCCTTAGTCTCTCTTCTCAAATCTTTCAGATCCACAAATAAGAACCTTTACATTGAAGTTCAGTCTTAAGCAGCTGCAACAGTGTTGAAACCAAGACACACACAAGCTGACTTGAAGTTTAATGCAGTCAAGTGTGTTTATCAAGTTGGCTTGTTTCTAACCTGTCTTATGCAGGTAGAATTGTTTCTTTCTTAGATTATATTTTCCCTTTAAAATAGGAAATTAAATTAGCAGTCTTGCCGGACTGTCTTTTCTGCTTAATTTTTGAGTAGTGGTAGTTATTCTTTTGACAGCTGCAGCATTAACTGTTTTGTGTTATTGGTTAGCTGAATTATTTTCCTTGTCTTTAAAGCTATGTGTACAAATACTTTTGCGAGAACAATATGTACTGGTAAATTTGCATCATCATGGAAGCTGAACTTGCAGGTTTGTCATGTACTCTGCCTTGCTGCCTGCACACATTCAGAGTTTGTAGGATCTGGTGATAAAATGGCTCTTAATGGTATCTGGAAGGACTGGTAGGTTTCTGGAACTTGCACTGTTTTTGGCAGGCCAGAGAAACTAAGGTGAGTATAAAGGTGGCTGGAAAAACCTAGGTGAAAACTTAATGCTTCACTGCCAGGATAGAAAGACATACTGCATAGGGTTCTGCAGAGATCTATCCTGACCTTAAATAAAAGGAATGTTTGTTAATGTTTTGGTGATCAAAATTGGAAGACAATCTCTAAAGGTATAGATGAGGTATAGAGAGGACCTTGTTCAACATGCATAAGTGCATGACCTGTTGGGAGGAGGAATGATCCCTTGTACAAGTCCTAGTTAGGTAGTTCCTACAGAAGAAAATCCTCAGTGTTCACAGATTGTAGTCAAGAGAGCCAGGACATGTTGCTGCAGGACAACATGCACAAAATAAAACAATAGTTCAGTTTATTCACTTTGAATTCCTCAGCAATGTTTGACTGAAATGTTAGTCTCCTCTTTCTAAAGTGTATAGAGAAGATGGGCAGGAGACCATCCTGTCTTCTAGGTGAAGAGAAGGCATTGTTGTGTCTCCTAAATTTGCCCTGAAGTGTGCTGTTTTTCCAGGAGTGGATAGCCATAAATAGACCATCTGTTAGCTTTAATTGAAGAATCCATTTCAGAGCCTAATAGATTAACACCACTACTTATCATGTCTACTTGTGGTGGTGTTTCCTTGTACTGGCCTGTCACTCTATATCTTCCTGCTGCCTCTGGCCTTTGTGATAAGGACAGTCTCTTTTCTGTGTTTCCACATAGTGGAGTCCTTGCTGTGACTAAGGCTGCTAGGTACTGCTGTAGCGTCCTGCAAGAAAAGGAGGAAGCATCAGGAAGGAAGAGGATCCAGTATGCACACTGGAAATTTAAACACATCTTGTTAAGAAATTAAATGACATATGCCATTTACTTGATGGAAGGTATTTTATTAGGAGCTTAATTCTGAGGAAGATGCCTTGTGGAGGAGTTAGGAAGGACATTTCTATCAAATGCTGTGTCAGAACTTTTGTGACCAAGGTATCGTGTGTTTGCAGTACAGTCTTAACAATATGTTGACATGTTATTTCAAGGTAAAATTCTTCTACCTATACGTAACTTGTTTAAAACTTTGTATTGTAGCCAGAGTGGACATACAGAGTTTTCATATTAGGTCCAGAAGCAGGATATGAAATAGATGTGTGTACAGTAGTTGTTCAGAACGGTTGTAGTTTGACTCTGATAGTTTGACTATATATTGGTCCAGCCTCTGTTTTGTAATTGAATATCTTTCTCTAAAGCTTCAAGTATTCAGTTTGTTGAAACAGTTTAGCCAATTCAGTCTTCTAGAGCTTTGTACTTCTTGGATAACTGTCACAGACTGAGACCAGCAGAGAGCATGACGAGATTACTTTTGCTTGCTTGTTGGTTTCTGCTATTGTCTAAATAGAGAATTATCTTAAATGGGCAGCTGGGAATTAACTTTCAGAGCCTGTTCAAAAGTCAACTGATTGGTAAAATCTCTGTGTAGTATCACACATTTTTAATGCTAGTAACCATCTTCAGGAATGGCATAAAAATGAAAATTTACTCATTTTTATTTGTGGAAGGCTATGGGAAACAGAAGGATTCAAGGCATGAAGCAGCATGGAATTCCTACCAGTATTAATTTTCTTGCAGAGCAGAGTTAATGCTTCAGAATGAGCTGTCTTGTGTAAGACTAACATTCTTTGGCTAGCTATTTAGTATATCAATGCAGATTTACAGAGTAAATAGTACATAGCAGATAAAATCAGGTTTCTGGTAAGAGATAAAGATTCTTTGTTTCTTAACTGGATCGTAAAACGGGTACGATTTGGACGAACCTTTGCAATGGGAGCACTTGCGGGACAATTTTTAAATGGTGGAAGATAAGATCATTTAAGCCAGAATTATCACTTATTTAAAGGACTTATTAATATTTTCAGATACTTAATATGTACGTACACATGCTGAACAAAATAGTTTTCTTTTGTTTCACTTCTAAAAATGCATTCCTTGGCTGATTTTAAGTGGGGAAGAATGACTGAAAAATAAGCAGCTCTAAAGAGTTCATTGTGACATTTGTTTTATTCCTGTGTAATATACCGGATCTGGAGGTTGGCTCAAGGTCTTTGAAAAAACTCTTGTGTGTTTGAGAAGTACTGTATTAATTTCATGTAAATTTCAGCTTTCATTCCTGTAGACCTTGAGAGAAGTTCTGTGCAGAATAACAAATGATGTGTCTCCAGTTTGTTAACCCTTGCATGTTGAAGGAATGGAGATCTTGAAACGCTTTCTTATTAGATAATAGCGTGCATTTTGTATTGAACAAATTCCATTGCTTATTCTCCTTTTTCCATCTCCTGATTTTAAGAGGTAGGCACCTAATCTGTTCCTTGCTCATGAAGGGCTGTTTTCAACTGTATATTTCTTCTGCGCTGCATTGCAAGGCTGGACAATGGGAATTTCACTGCTTTTAATGGGCTATTTTTCTCTACCCAAAACAACTACAAACCAGATATCAACTCAGAATATGGGACCGTGATTCATCTGCCCCTTTTTTCCTTCCTTGTCTCCTACCCCAGGTCATCTACAGCATTGAAATATTTGTAGTTTAAGTGGCAAAGCTACCTGGAGGTAAACATACTGTGCAGATGAAAAACATGACCTGAACAAAAACTGTAATTAAGACCCATTTTGGGGGGAATTTTTGGCTAAATGATGTTCATAGTATTGTTCTACCTATCTCTTAAGCTTTCCAATGGCAGGTTCACCTTCTTCATTTAGAAGCAGTGTTTGCTGGTACTAATTTGATGTGGTGGTTGAATAGTTTTTCCCCCTCCCCGCTACTTCCCTTCTGTTTTAGGACTACAATGATGAAATCAGACAGGCACAGCTTCAAGAATTAACGTATTTGAATGGTGGTTCTGAAAATGCAGAAGTTCCAGTTGTTCGAGGAAAACCATCTATTCGGGCAAGGGGAGTACCAGTTCCTGCTTTGTCCAGGTAAGTATCTCAGCTGCAGTGCAATTTGTTTTGAATATGTGTATTTTAGGCTCTCCTTCAAAAATAAAAAGCCAAAAAGTAAGATATGTGAAGCAAATATGGACCCCCTAAGTAGTTTAATAAAAAGGTAAGAGAAATAATCTTGATTCTTAAATTTCGCCTGCAGTTGGACTGCTTTTGATCTTGTGAAACTTGTTTCTACATTAAGAAACATGTACCTCATAGAAGATGTTCAGCCTTACTGTAGGCGCCTGCTTGACTCCCAGCTGAAGTAGTTGCTCTGTAGGAGCATTTAGGCACTGAAGTGTTTAACTTGGAACTCACAGCTTTGGCAAACTGGTAAGGTCTATCTTTTCTTGAATGATATTTAAATTCTGAATTTCCCTAACGTACGTCACAGTTAATCTAATAAAAAGAATATTTTGTATTGACTGTGACAGTGACCTTTGATAAAAATCTAGCATCATGGAAGTCTTTTGGAGGTGTAATTTGTGCTTAGGCTCATCTCAGTTGCACTTCACAAAGTGGCTTTAGCGTGATTGAGGAAGAAGCAAATTTGCTGTTGATTTTGGTGTACTTTTCTTTGATGCAGGAGGTGCTCTGTTTTTTACTCTTGCATCCCCTTTCTTCCTTGCAGTATTCCTTCAGCTCCTTTGAGTCTTGAAGTGTGAAAACAACTAAAGTACGTAATTTCTGTCACAGTACAGAGATTCTGTGGCTGCAGCAGTTAAGTGTAGCAGTTTTCTAAGAGGAACAGTTTTCCTTCAGTTTTGGCTATGATTCTCATTAATACAAGTTTCAAAGTTACATTTGAGCTTTTAAAATCAGTTCAAAACAATATTCTGAAATGTATTTTAACTCAGCTCAAGTGTGTTAGAGGAAAACACTGAGGTTTTAGTCTATTTAGAAAGAACTGCTTTATACAGTTATATATATCCTGATTCCTGATGATTGATTGTTAATGCAATGCAGAAGAACCTTAATTTAGAGAATTTACAGTTAGTGTTGATCCTATAAAATTCTTACAAGAATGTGATTTTCTCTAAACAAATTTTTGTTCTTGTGTTCTTAGCTAAGTAACTTATTACACAATGCATCTATACTGTTGCTTTTCTTTTGATGTTCAAAAAACTGATAATCATATACTGAGGTTTACTTCTTTAGCACTGCAGTCAGCCATCCATAAGTGCTGGCAAATTATAGTAGGGGTCTTACTTGCTTTCCTGTAATAAGATTGCTTTTTTTGCTAATTTTACTTAAAATAAAAAAGGCTTACGCTCCGGCGGGGGGGGGGGGGTCATTAATAAATGTAGTTTTGTTATGAAGGGATGAGCACTTCCACTAGAAAAAAAATTCAGTTCGCACTGAGCAACACTGAATACAGTTCTTTTGGTACTGAGCAGTAGTATTTTTGACAAGATCTTCTGTAAAGGTGTATGTGTTTAGTCAAGTTGTTTGCTTCTGTAAAACACTGGAATTGCTATTGTAGATTTAATCTGCTATCTACAGATATCTCTCTTTGCATTTCTAGTATCCAACTCCTTCAAGCGTTCATTTCCACTTTGGATTATATTCTCAACCACTTTTAGTAGTGGGTAGTCCATAAAACTAAGATTTTAGGTCTCTTTCTCTTTGCATATTTAATACATTGGTATACTGCTTTCTGTTAATGTCAATTTCTTTGCAGATGAGTTCTGTTCTTTATTTTCCATAAATATCTGTAACAGTTCTGCTGCACGTACTGAGGGCTCAGTACAGACACTTGCAGTTCTATTCCATATTTTCTTCATTATTCATATGTTCATAAGCTGGTGTTTGATATAGTTGTTGGTTATTGTTCTGATTGGGTGTTTTTATGACTAAAGTTCTTGATATCTGATTTCCATTACAAAGTGTCTAGTTGATGCATGCTTAATTAACTATTGATAGCACTAAATTTCTAACATAACACTAGTTCTATCTTCTGTGGATTTTGGTAATTGCTTCCTTTTATCTAAGCCTGTGTTTAATGCAAGACATCTAGGCTGCTATGTGTTCCACTATATCCTTTGTAGTTCATCCTATTGCCGTACTACTGTTGGAGCATCTTCAGAGTAAATCTAAATGTTACTAGCATTTGATGTGGAGATGATCTTGCAAATACAAAGTGAAATTGTTTTGTCTTCTGCCTTTTTCATATGATCTAAAGAAAACTGGAAGTTTTTCTTTTTGACTAAAATACTCCTCGAGTGGTACTTACAACAAAGCTGCTGAGATACTAAACCCGTTGAGTTAGAGATCTCAAACACGATGTAATGCTGATTTTTTTTTAGCACCAACTGACTTCAGCGAGTAATATTTTCATTGAAGGAAAGTTTTGTTAAAGGCTATGTCTTAGTATGTTAAATAAAACACTTTGAATAACAAACGTCCCTGAGGTCTCCAAGAGAGGTAAAACTTGTAAATGATACTTTGGTATCTTCAAAATAGTCTATAGCCTGAGAAGACTTATGAAATACAAAAATCTTTTTAAAATATAAATTGATCTTACCTCTTTAATCTGTAGAATGTCTTTAAGGTCTCAGTCTTGACACTCAAACTATCCTTGAGGATGTGATAAATGATTGTGTTGAAGTTGCTAATTTTTTAAGCCTTTATATACTCTATTATTCCCTAATAGTTTTACTTAATACTAATCTATGGCTTTTTTGTCCTCATCAGACACTTTGAGACTGGAAATAATACATCTTGCCAAGTGCCTTCTTAAGATGAAATATTACCTGTATGTTTAGCTTCATAAAAAAGTTTTATGTTATGGAAAGCAGTACAGTTCTGCTTGCATATGAAATTCTCGTATGTGCACAGGTGTTCCTGTATATGGTAACCAGTTTCCTAATGGCTATGACTTGACAATTTTTTCTGCTATTTCTAGATTATTCCAGATTTTACCTCAGTTTTTTACTCTACAACCAAATAAGATTTCTCTATTAAAAAAAGTTGGGATTTAATGATTCTAGAAGGGTCATCTGCCTTTTGAACTTCACTTTGAAGAACTTAACTTTTCTTACCATTGGTCTTTGGCTTAGAGCTGTTTTCCTTCTGCCCCTCCCTCACCCCCCTGTTATTTTTTTCTTCATTCCTCTTAATACAGTCAAAGATGACCTTCAGATGCCTTCATAACATTCCTGCCTGGAAGCTGTGGGAACTGTGCTGAACGTCTAACCTTTTTAGGCATTACCTTCTCCTTCTGTGCAACAGAAGAGAAGGGACGTGAGAAGTTTACTGCAGTGGAAGTCTAGTTTTCATTCCTTATTTTTTCCATTTTAAGTTCTGACACTGTTCTTAGATGATATTTTAGAGATAAATATATAAAATAAAGGATTATACTCTTTAAGCTTGCTAGCACAGTGAAATTAAGGTATCGTTTTGTTTAGTACAATGCTGCTATATCTTCTAGCTACTCACTATGGCACATCTCTGGAATCAGTGTTTCTCTTTAATGCGTCTGAATTCCTGTTCAGAGTCAGTGCTGTCGAAAAGATAGGTACAGTTTAAATGTGAACTGAGGCATCTGATTTAACTAGAGTCCATAAACAGGCAATGTGTTTAACACATTGATGTATGCCTCTAAGGACATTTTACAGCTATAAAAGTAGCATTTCCTTTCGACAACTTAAAAGTTCCTATTTTATGATTAAGTAAAAATGAGTTTTAAGAATCAGTCAGAATCCTAACTCAAGCTTAAATGCATTGGAAGAGCAGAGTTGGAGGATGGTAGTAGTGAGGCTAAGGATATGAATACACTATCCTTGCTACTACCGAGTGGGGTGAAGGGGAGACCAATGCGTGTCATTAATAGCTGAGTTGCTGTCGCTGTTCAGCACACTTTCTAGGTTCATTTAACTTATTACTGTGAAATATTCTGGACCCAAACAGTTGTGCATAACTGCAAAATCAAATGGAGTTCACTCCCCAGATTGAGAGGAAATATATCTGAAAGCAAATGTTTTGGTTTCACTAAGGTGAGGGAAGGAAATTCAAAAGAGCTGTAATGTTTCTTCATGCTTCTCTTAAAGTATTTGACTTTGAGCAGTTTCAGGATGGATAATAACAATGACTCAGAATATTCTAAATGGAACTTCTTTCATGGTTTTCTGGACAAATTATGGGTATATATGCAGCATGACTTCAGGGGTGCATATGAACAGCAGATACAATAGTGTCTTTAAAGATGCAAGCATATGCATTTAAAATTATTATCTGGCTGCAGAACTAAGTTTGTCAATGTTGTGGCTACCATGTTTTTTTTTGTGTGTATGTATGTTTTTGTCTGTACTGTTTCCAAGAGGTTTCAAGCTGTGTAGAGAAATTTCGAGCTTCTCAAGAAGGCTGCCATCCTGCACTGGTGGCCTCTGGAACAGGACTGATCTTCCCTCAGGAGTGTCAATTGAAATATTTTTTCATGGAGCCAATATATATGAATGGTGTAATTAAGAGTTCTGTCTATGCTCACATGAGTGTAGTTTTTTGCTTCCATCTATTTTCTTTTGATTCTTATTTCCATGTATGCAGATTGTGATGCTATGACTGTAATGTCTGAGGACAGATGTTGCACAAAAGCTGTAGTTTGGAACATGCTGAACTATAAGTCAGAAAAGATATGTTGATGACTGATGTAACGTGTTCCGACTTAAACTATTCTTTGAGTCACCAGATCAAACTTACATGAGAACATGTAAATAATGTCCTCTAAAAGGTTACTATAGCACAAAAAATCTTGGGAGAACAAGCTCAGAAACCAAGAGGAGAGAAAGTATGTTCAGTGTGTCTTGGTTCTTTTATCTTGTGATGAATCTTGCATTTATGAAAATGAAACTTGAACCTATGTATTGCTTTTTACATAATGGGAAATTTTGTATAGGATTGCTTGCTTCAGTGGTGAAATATATTAAAAATGAAGAAAATGTCTAATGAGGAAAAGACAGAATGTATCTATTGTTGGGACCTAGTTATCAAAGTTT